GAATTGAACGTCTTTTGTCAGCTCGTGTGTATTAGTCTAGTTTTTGTGTCAAATCAATCGTTGCCGACCTACTGCGCCCCTAAAGTTAATTTAATTCAAGGTGTTTTTTAACGAGTGCCAATAAACTATATAGAAGTAAAAGAAGGTATAAGTTTGACAATACAAAGGTACAAATTTGTAAGGTATGTAAATTTACAAGTTTTTGCTTATTAATTAGTAACTTCGACAGTCCCTCTAAAACTTTCTTCTTACGTTGCTTAGTGGACTCGGACTTCCAGTTTCCAGTGGTACTCTTTGTGTCAACTCGTTCTTATGCGAGGACCTCCCAGAGGGTTCGGGGTGGGTGTGCCCTTGCGGTGACTACACCCCGGAGACCACTTCGTCCGTCACGTCGTGCTGCACCTAGCTGCGGGTCCGTCTACGTGCTGACTTTGCGTGGAGCTGGTGTGTGTTCTAAGAGTCAAGTCTACACGAAATAGAACATGTATACCGTACGGAATATCATATTGTAGTGCGTAGTTCTCCCCGGTCAGAATTTAGATACCGAGTAATCTAGTTCCTGTTGAGTGGGAAATAGTATTTATCTTTACTACATTACACCTACAATTCGTAAGTCGTTTCTAGATGTGTGTCGTTACTCCCAGGTCGGTCTCTGTTTTTTAAATATCTTCGAGACTGAGCTACTGTTACATACAAAACTATAGTAGACGACAAGGTAAACAAGTAGTCAACATAAATATGTCGGGTTATAGTGTTTAACAATGGTAAGACCTCTTCCCTGAAAATGTCAAAATGTCTTATGCTGGAGGAGATAGGAATCCTGCGGATGCGTAGCATGTTCTTTGTGAAAGGTTTCTTTGGGGGGGTCCATTACCCCTTTTACCCCTCTGCTTTGGAGTCCCTACCCGTGTCTCTCCTAAGGGAGAGGTCCGCTGCCTGTGTGCACGTTAATCTACGGTCAACATTTATAATTTTTCTATTATGTAAAATGTGTCATCCATCAGGTTGCAAACCTTACTGTACACAGATTATTATTCTTCTACTTAGTCCTCCTAAGTTTGTTAAGCGACACCCTCGGGTAGCACACAAAGAATGTCTTAATGTGATAATGATGTCATAATTCGGTAAATGAGTTGAGGTAGAAGAACATCTCCCTTTTTGGGTCTTGTTACAAAGTCTCTAGCTTTGTTTTACTATGCGGTCTACTTAACTAATGGAAGATAGTGTGAAGGGAGGTAATATAAATTTTAGTAATATATTATATTCAATAAGGTAAGTCTCCTGTCACCTTTCCAGTTAGACTAGCAGATTAAAGGAGAACTAAAACAAAGTGTAAGATCCTAGGTGGGGTAGGTAATTTTGGAGAAACCAGCTCGAGTGCGCTAGAATTTGAAAATACACAGCCGGAACAAATCTGCCACTTCCTTACAGAGCCCCTCCTCCAACACACACGAACGTGCACATGACCAATGAGGGCACGAGATAAGTTTGTGCACAGATGGAAAGCTGACAGGCAGGTAGGCCATCCAGTTATTTTAGCCGTGCCGGCTAAAATGATTGGTCGTGCTTTTTACAGTACTACGGCTTCCACAGATGACATTTTTTTATGGATTTTTTGTCAAAGCACTTCAGATATTCATTGCTATCGGAATGTTAAGCGCATTCCATGGAATATAACAAAAAGTGTATCTCGAGCCGGTTTCTCAATCTTACCTACCCCACCTTTAATGTTCAAAAAGTTCTTTATTTTTCTCATAATGCCTGTGCTGCAGCACCTCTTTTCACCCTCTGTCTGAAACCAGAGCCCAGTCTGCTCTGATTGGTTAGCTCTGTTTGGATTGGTCAACTGCTTCGAGATGACTCTCCCCTCAGCCTATCACGTACAATGTGATGGAGAGCTAGACGATAGAAGCGCGAGTGTTTTGCAGTGATGTGTCGATGTCCAGAAAGTAAACAAAGGACTACATTCGATGTGTTTCAGCATAATAGGGCCTCTTTAATGTTATATAATGACGTTTGTTACTTGTGTAAATCATTCCTCTGCTGTTAGTAGGCAACATTAAAGTTATAAAGTAGTTAAAAGACTATTAAGAGACATTCATTCATTCTACATAGCTTGTTCATAATGTCAGCTGTGAGAGGGAGAGCCAGCAGATAGAAATACATAAAGAGAGGGAGCGAGAGGGAGGGAGAGTTAGGGAGGAAGTGTGTGTGGAGAGAAAGAGTGAATGAAAGTTGAAGATTGGGAAAGATACAGGGAGAGAAGCTTGTGACGACTCACTTCAAGCCTTAAATCAAGTTAGCTTTGGAGATTATACCAATGGATACCTTGAATTCACCAGCATTATGCTTAAGAAAACACATGGAAACTATACGATGGAAAGAGGTAAGAAGCGGATTTCATTTAGTGAGTTAAATATACAAAATACAGGCTGTTTGAGACTTTGAGATTTCCTTCTGAATTGAATTCAATCATATGTTCTGCTGTCGCTTTATTAACTGTAAAACCAAAATGGGAGGGGGAAAGCAATTCGTTTTAGAAGGGATCATGCCATATGTATTTTGTAGAAAAACGTATGTCACTTTGATTAACTATGCAGCTCTGGATGGCTTGCTATCTTTATCACACAGTAACAGTGCGTCTGAATGTATTTCCCAGCTTATCAGCTACGTCTTTAAGGGCTTCATGCTGTCCCTCACTGTTATTTGGATTACATATCAACTAAACAAATGATGACAACGGCCCCAGAAATGGGAAATTACAAAGCGCTATCCTAGAGGCCAATGAACTTTGAAACATGGGCCTTTAGAGATGTGAAAGTATGAGAGTCAAGATGAGAGGAGGAAAAGCAGAGCAAAGGTTAGTGTCCTGTGAGTAGAACGCAGCAGAAGAAGCAACAAGACAGTAATTCAAGAAAAGCTATAGAGAAGAGTGATTGAATCAGGCAAGAGCTCCCCAATGACTATTGAGATGCTGGTTTTTGGTGATGACCTTCTCAAGGGTGTTGCACTGGCTGTCATGTTTTTCCTTGAGTCTGCCCAGCTGGCCCCAGACTTTCATACATATCAGATGTGGATGAATGGTCGCACGGCCTAAAATGTCTTATTTATATCATGCTAAAACACAGTGTGGGAGAGAAAACGATCAAGTGGGCACAGAGACTCATGAAAAAAGCCTCCGGATGAAGTCAATTGATTGGCTAAACGTATTTTTTTCTTTTTCTGTATCAGGTGTTGAGCAATCATGGCGGCCTTTAAGAGAATGACCATCACTCCGGACAACATATACGCCACTGTCAACAGGTTTGTAACGTATTTCCTATAAGAAAGGGACATTTTGTAAAAAATGCTTTACGTTGCCCTTTACTCATCACATCCCCTAAAAAAAAAAGAGGTCATTCATCTTAGGGCTTCCCATTTCCTCCTGTTTATTTAATTAAACATTACAGTTTGATGAAATGGGCTCCGGTCCAAGTATGTGTTTATTTAGCGAGGCCAATGAGAGGGAGATGCTCGGTCATAGGCTTGTCCTCTGGCATTTTACTCTCAGGCTGTATTTTCCCACTGTCGCCAGAAAAAGACTTGGTGTCCCCTAACTGGCAGTGACCGTACTCAGAAGTTCAGGAAACTCAATGAAAGTCAGTTATTTAGCCTTTTGTAGCATAGTATTGTATTTTTTGATTGAATTTAGGTAATCAGTGATTCAATTATCATTTTGAAATCTGTGTTTTACTGAAGAATCCTGTAAAACTGTGGTTCAAACTGCTCCTGTGTGTGTGTTTAGGTTAAAGAAGAGCCGTGCTGGTGAAAAAGGTGATTTCCATTTTGCTTCAGGGGACAACAACCACGGTGGACAAAGAAGAGAGAGGGCACACAAACTTCCCTTCACCCCGTTGGAAAACCAGAGGGAAGAATCACCCATGATGGCGCACAGGAGGCCGAGCTTCGACCCTCACAATGAGAACTCTCTCCTGGTAGGCAACAAGCTCCCCAGATCCAATGGAGGCAAAATCAAGGACAAGATTTCTTTATGGGAGGGGAAGGAACCCACTCATTCACCCATCACCTCAGGTTCTTTGGGCCAATGCCACAGCATAACAAGGACAGAATCCCTTACAAAGAATGGTAAAAACTCTGATGGACTGAGTGAAGAGAATTGCAAGAGAGTAGCCCAAAAGGAAAAGGAAAATCTTGGTAAAGAGAATGTTGGCAAACTTGGGGATTCAAGGCCTTGTTCACCTGTTGAAACTGGGAAACAGCAAAGAGGGACGCTCAAGAACAGCAAGCACAGTGAGAGCAAAAAAGGGGGGGATTGCGGCGGAATAGATCACGAGAAAGAGAATGTAGAAAAGCTTAGGGATTCAAGGCCTTGTTCGCCTTCAATAGCAGTGCAGCAGCAGATGGGGACGCTGAAGAAAAGCAATGAAAGGAAACCAGCAGAACAGGCCAACCAGGAGAAGAGAGCTGTGTTCACCCTTTTTAAAAACCTGGACGCAATGGGGGAGAACCATGGGAAAAGTCCTCCAGAGCTTGGGAACTACTTCAGCCCACCTTGCAAGGACAAACAGGTAGTTATGGGTGAAACTGGTTCAGTGAAAGAGACGCAGCACCAGGAGAATGTGTACACAGAGCCGGGGTCGCCCCCTATCAACCCAGTGCCCAAACCCCAACGGACCTTTGAGCATCCAACTATCGTCGCCATCGGGAAAAGTCAGAGTAAGGGCAGAGAGCAGAGGAACCTCCCCCCACTGCCCTCCACCTTGCCACCCACCTCTACAAAAACGTCCTCAAAACCTCCCTCTGGTGTCTATGGGAGACCCCGGGGTGAGAGAGTTAGAGACAACATCAAAAGGTATAAAGGTCACAGCTTAACCAACATCAAATACAATGTTAGTCCTGGTGTTGTACTTCGCAGAACAATACCGCATATTACAGCAGAAGGTAGACAATGTTGAACAAATGAATACAACGTAGAAAGCTCATATACTGTACACTCTTTTGCATTTTCTTGTTCACCATGACAGGAAATCCTTTGAGTTTGAAGACCTCAAAATGTCAACTAGCCCGCTTTTCTCTCGCCTACCAGAACATCACTATGAAGACATCCCAGGTCAGAAAGCTCTAATATCCATCAGTGATCTTCCTTTTTTGAATACATAGTTTGAAATGTCTCTTGCCAAGAGTTAGACAAGTACATCAATACCACTTACAGGTTGTTTTTAGTGAACATGATCCTACGACTACAACTACGCTAATTAGCTTATCCTAGCATGAAAACCTGAAACAGGCCACTTTTGTTGTTTTGAAGGGGGTTATTTGCTTATTTATTGGCTTGGTGAAGTGTTTTTTTGGGGTCTCTCCTGGTTGGCAGATGTTTTACCTGTGTACAGAGCCAGGCTAGCTATTTCCAGTATGTGTGTTAAGCTAAGCTAACTGTTGCCTGCCTGTAGCCTCACATTTGTTGAAAATGGTATTGATCTTCTCATCTTACTCAGATGGTATGAGTATTTCCCAAATTATCAAAATAATCTCTTAAAGAAGTTAAAAGGTAAATTGTACAGATATGTCAATTCTGACATTTTCCGAATACCGTTTTGGAATCCCTTATTATTTAAACCTTGCATTTTCAGAAAAATACCTATGTTGAATATAACCCTCTTTGGTCTCCTTGCAGACTCGTCCAAAGAGAACCCATATGAGGACATAGAGTTGGAGAGTCAATGCTCCCAGCAGTCTTTGCCCTCCTCTCCTGGTGCAGAAACTACCAAGGTTCCTGGAAATACAAGCCAAGCATAATGATTTACAGTGACACCACTTCTTATTTCAATGACAGTGAGAATGTATTTCATTATTATTTTATGTCCACAGACCTTGAGGCCAGGCTTCTTCAGGCAGAATTCAGGCAGGGGCTTTAAGCTGCTGGACCTGCGGAGAAGCAACCAGTCGCCCCACAGCACCAGCAGTGGAGGGGTTTCATCTCCACCCCAGCTCAGCCCTCCCTCCACTCCTGGGCCTGAACACACTTACTTGCTCCCCGGGGATCCTTACAGCCGCACCTGCCGCAGGATACCAACGGTGTGTGTTGAAGTGCATACTTTAGGGCTCTTAATGTATTTTCTTATGCAGGATCCATGAACTAGAGCAGATGTGTTATCCACCAACCCTAATGCTTACCATACAATTTAAAGATTATGTTCAGAATGTCAATTGGTGCTTTGTTCTCATCCTGTACTTTGAACATTTTAAATATATTATTAACATTTTAAATTGTATACCCCGTTTATCTAGGCCCTTTTTGTTTTGTTTTATGTATATATGTCACACTGTGGGACTGCGGGAAACGGTATCTTGAGATTTCTGGATGTATAACACGTAGTAATTTTGACAATAAAGCTGACTTTGATCCTTAAGAAAATATGTCATGCTGCACACTGATTCAGAGCCCTTTCCCAACAGGTCGTGCTTAGAATCAACAGCATCTTTGAGGCGAAGATCGGGAAGAAACATCTCCGAAGGATCTATCATTACGCTGAGACAAGCTCAGGGAGAGGTGATGACGTTCAAATGAATCTTGTCTTTGTAATTTCTAATCTTTTAAAATGTAGAGTTTTGACTTAATTGACCCATCTCTGTTTGCAGTAACAGATGAGAACAGTGACTCTGAGAGTGAAGTTGAAGAAAGATCAAGAGGTAGATGACACTAGAACACTTTCCGTACACTGTCTTTTAGTTTTTGACATCTCCAATTTATACAAAAACATTCCTCTATTCCAGCTCATCGTCAGCGTCTCGTGTCAGTCCAGTCCATACTGAGCCAGCCAAGCCAGGCTCAAGTCCATTACAACGGTTCCAACACCAGCAAGCGCTCTCGGGAAAAGGAGCTCCACCAGCGTCAGCTGTTTGAATATTTTCTAGTTGTGTCGCTGCAGAAATCGAAGGCTGGTGCCCATTATCTGCCAGAGGTCACACAGCAGTTCCCACCAAAGGTCAGGAGCAGAGGAGGGCATGAGGCCTAGCTTGCTTTTTTTTATTAAAACCTTTGTATAAGAGCAATCCACACATTTTACAAAGTAAACTTAGATAGCGTGTCAGATGATCGATGACATCTTAGATATCTATAGGACGAGGGATCTGGAAAGGTGTACTTAAAAAGGCTAGCCTGTTTATAGGAAAATATAGGACCCAGTCTTTCGTTTTTTGACTTATGGCACATTTCCACTGCAGCGGGGTAGCCCTGTTTAAGCGTCCCTAAGCGTCCTCGCTCACTGCCTCGGTGGCCGTCCGAGGCCGTGGCTCATTTCCATTACAGTTTAGGACCTGGGGTAGCAACCATAGAGGTAGCAACGCAGTGTAGGCGGGGCATCTGTGCAGAGACATCCTGGAACACTTTCACATTTCGAGTTGTTCCGTCGAGCTCCCGCTGGATTTTATCATCCCCAATGAGATGTAGGAACGTCGTCACCTCCTCGGTCGACCACGTGTGCTTTTCTTTGACGTTGCCATTTTTGTAGCTCCTCCGTTTACAAAAATGCTGTGTATAAAAATGCTGCAAACTTGCTTCTAGATATATATGCGACGCTAGGGATGATCTCGCGCGCGATCTTGTGACGATTCTCTCTGACCAATCAGCAGTCGAGAGTGTTGACGTCACTAGTTCAGCCCTGGCCCTGGCCTGATAGAACCACGGTTTTATGGGGCCGGAAAAGGTAGCCGCTAGCCGGTGCTACGCTACATGGAAAGGCCACCAAAAACTGGCCTGGCCGCTTGAGGACGATTAAGGACGCTTAAACTGGGCTACTCGCTGCAGTGGAAATGCGCCATAAGAAGCCTGCAAGACTACTACTCTGATTTGTGTGAAAGTGTCTTAACCATTTAATATGTTGTCTTTTCAGAGGATACCTCATGGGCTAAAGACAAGAAGAGACCTTGATTTGGATGGACAGAAGACATCAAATGCACGGGGGCTCAACGCAACATTTGATATAATCAACAACCTTTAAGGACTGAAAGCACTGAACTTTCTGCACTGGCTCTGTCTCATTGCTGTTTAGCGACTTTCTTTCCTCTCCTTTTCCCCACCAAAGATTTTTGGTGGGGAAAAGGAGAGGAAAGAAAGTCGCTAAACAGCAATGAGACAGAGCCAGTGCAGAAAGTTCAGTGCTTTCAGTCCTTAAAGGTTGTTGATTANCGGCCCGGCTAAAATGACTGGATGGCCTACCTGCCTGTCAGCCTTCCATCTGTGCACAAACTTATCTCGTGCCCTCATTGGTCATGTGCGCGTCGTGTGTGTTGGAGGAGGGGCTCTGTAAGGAAGTAGCAGATTTCTTCCGGTTGTGTATTTTCAAATTCTAGCGCACTCGAGCTGGTTTCTCCAAAATTACCTACCCCACCTTTAAGCGCAGTAATAAAAACTACTTTGAGAAAATTGATTAAAAATAATTATTGTTTGCTATTGTTGTACAAATAGTTTATTTGGAAAAAACTGTTACTGTAGATTTGAAAACAATGTTTAGGAGAAGAGTTGAGCAACCTAATCTTACATAAAAAATTGCTTTGAATGTTATCTACTTACAATTTCCTGGGGGAAACCCTGAAAGTAAAAGTAAAATGTCTTTTTACTTCCTGCTAAAACATAATTGGTGTGTAAAGGTTTACAATCCTAGACATTAGACCCTTCTTTGTCTGACATAAAACTGAAAGAAATGTTATGTCTTTTGGAATTGGATCTAATTCAAGCTAAGCTGTAAAGTGGCTGATTGAACCAGGTTTCTTTTTGTACAGTCTTATTTTTTAACAAACATGCCCTTAGAGATATGAAAGGTTCTATAATCACATAAAAATCTACGCAGACTTCAACTTTTTTCTCTGTGGTAGCTTTTCTGTTGCTACTATTTCCTGTGTAGCGTAAATGGTAACGTGCACTTACATGTTTTGAATAGCTTCCTTAGCACAAGAGCTGTATTTGTAACTACTAAAAATGTAGCTTCAGAAAAACTTAACAGCTTTCTCTTTTGTAGAAAACAATGGGTATATCTGAGCAATTCAAGTCAACATAGACTGGAGCTTCACAATGAAGAGAACTGAAGAAAGGGAGAGACAGAAGAGAAAGCATGGACAGGAAGGATGGATGGATTGAGGAAGCAAAAACGAAGACTCTTATTGGTTATTGGTTTGATGTGGAGGGCAGCTGCAGCTTGCAATTTACCTCCATCTTTCTTTCTACTTTCTGTCGATTTTGGCGAATCTGTCTTTTATAGCGCCCAACCAATCGTTTAATAGATCAAAAGCTATATAACCCTTGTCTGAAGAGCCTATATATCCTCCAGCTGGCTCCACTCTGAGACAAGATTTTAAGGGACCACCCCAGACACACACACATATGCACACACACACACACATACATAACCACAATCAGTCAGCCCAGTTTTAAAACATATTTGATATGTTGGATGAATGATATCTAATTGCATAGTCTGTGATGAAAGAATGCATAGAGGTATAATAATTATACTCTGACAATCAACTGCAGCCCAAATGACTTGTTCACCTCCTACTGACACTCAACCAAAGTCCAGCTTCATTTACATATATTGACAGAGTGCAGTGTCCCAGTGGAGTAATAACTAGGCCAGTCATCTGGACCGAGCAGTAGTGGGCCAAAGCTCTGTCCCACAAGACATTAACAGAGTGCCATTAGAGCAGGCTAATAGAATGAGACAGGGATGAAAGCAACACTGACGCTAGGCTAATGTGTATTGAGTGAAAGCAATACTAGGCTGAGCTGCACTGATGCTACTTGATGCTAATCCAATGAGACAGCATAGAGGGTTTGGTAAAGCTGTATACTAACTGGGGTAGATCGAATGACAGAGACCAACAGAGGAAAGAAGTGGGGAAAGTTAAGGTGTGGCAACCTGCTACATTCACAACTGCAGTGTATGTTTGAGTATACTGAACAAGATACCAGAAGAACATACATATACAATATCACATTTTTTGCTCATTATCTATCACAGAAAAGTAAAATAGAAAACTTTACCTTAACTGAGTGAGTTTATGTTCCAATTATTTTAATCCAAGAGTGAATCATTAAGACAAGAGCTACACCCTGCCAAGTCACTGCACTTTGTTTCCTCCATCATCTAATCTGAAAGTAAGGCAGCGCCCAGACGAGAGAATAGCACAGGAACAGGAAGACACTCTTCAGAGGTTGGTCTGTCTGCCGCCTGGCTCTCCCTCCTTGCATGTGAGCCTCTGTGTGTGTGTGTGTGTGTGTGTGTGTGTGTGTGTGTGTGTGTGTGTGTGTGTGTGTGTGTGTGTGTGTGTGTGTGTGTGTGTGTGTGTGTGTGTGTGTGTGTGTGTGTGTGTGTGTGTGTGTAGAGAACAGAGCATTTATGGGTGCGTTTAATATTTGATAGGGCATCTTTCAGGAGCCCCACCCAGTGTGCTGCAAGAGTACAGAAGTGGTGAGGACAAATTATGTTTTGGGGAAATAAAAACATTACAAAGAATTGTTGTCAGTACAAATGACGTAAACTTCAGCAGGAAACAGTCTGATCAATTATCCACAATATATTACAAAGTCCAAAGACTAAAGTCACATAATCCCACCAATAAAGAAAAGTTACTGACAAGCTAGAGTAGTAATTGTCAGTTTTCATGCTGCTGCCCTTTAATGTCATTGAATCTCCAGAGGGGATAATAAAGGGAAACAGATCCCGCCTAGCAGCACTCAGCTGCACATTAAGTCACTCCAGTAAAAAGGCATTTGTTGTGGTTCTCGTAAAGATTCAATACGAGTTCAATTTCCCATACTCATTTCATGGTTGACAGCATACTGGTCCCCCTCAGTCCACCATTTTCAGCTAAGTGCTAGCTGTAAAACCATATTGCCAGCTCCTCAATATCCACTGTTTATAAGTATCACATGCCGTGATAAATCACAACGGAGTCCGATTCAACCCACATCAGCAGCAATAAAATAAGGCTTAAACACAGGGTAGCAAAAGACTTCTTTTGCATTTAAATTACTTCCTGGTATACTTCTTTTAACAAGCCTCAATCAAAGTCAGCCTTTTAAACATTTACAGCCTTAAATTGGTTAAGATTGGTGGGGTTTTTGAGAGCTTATTCTAGACGGAAAACTGTTATGACATCTGAATGTTGGAAACTTTTTTCCAGGTGGTCCATTAATTCAGAAAAAACGAGACAGTCACAAAAATTGTCTTCACCTAGTCAAACTGACAAGTCCTGACACGGACCACCCTCAAAAAGTCCTCATCATCCACCCTGACTCATACATAAGAATAACCCTGCTGCTGCCTTCTTTGTGAGGTGTGATGCTGAGAAGCAGTAGTGCTGGCAGGACTTGTTATAATCTAATTATCTTCACTGTTAGAGGTGCCCAGATGTCCACACACCCATCACTGTAATCACATTTCTCCTTAAACCACTCTCTGCTTTATCATTCAGTTTTAAGTGTATGTGCGCGTCATGAAGAGACAGACATGCGTATCTGTTCCCTCTCCCATGTATGACCTTCATTTGAACCACATGGGAGAAGGCTGCAGTGCATTTGACAGCTCAATTTAATTCTCACCTTCTGATTGGCTGTATGGGATAAAAAGGTTGATATCTGTTGCCTGGCAGTAGCGCAGGTGTCAGTCACTGTCGGCCAGGTCATTAGAGTCGTTTATGCAGATGGGAGCTGGAGCCAGAGCCGACAGCAGCCAGAGGCATACTTTTTCTTTTTGATGCATAATAAAACTTCAGAGTGACCACAGAACATCTCATTAATGATTGATCACACAACTGCTAGCAACAATTTATTCTTTTTAATTAAAAGATAAAACTCTCTCGCCCGAACTGACTCCATGGTGCAGCTATTTGTTGCTTAACTAGCTCAGGCCTATAATCATATAAGTAACAGCATCTTAATTAGGATAATAGACCTTCTTCAAGTACATCGTTTGTGTTTTTATCAATTTGTGTAGCCATGGATGGTCAAGCAATTTTT